AAGATAGCAAATAGCACAAAAATATTATAAGAAGTAAACAGAAGAAGAAACTAAAAAATAAATGTTACTTTCTGAGTAGCTATAACTGTAACATATATTTTTTTAAATCGGTAACTTGTAACGATAACTAGTATTTTTTGAAAGGAAAGAACTATAACTGTAACTAGTACTTTTTTACAAACTTTTTCCAATCCTGCTTCAGGGTGACTGAATGACAAATTGTTAAATTATTTATAAATATTTCTAAAGAATTTTACAATAAAATTAAAAATATTAAATTACGCAAACGCGGCGTTGCCGCGCGCGCATATGATAATATATTTTTTTACACAGATTCTCTGGCTATTCTTATCTATCTTATTTTTCATATCATTTAGACACCTTGATATTATTGATATTAATATTATTATTATTGTTATTATTATTATTGTTATTATTATTTGATATTAATATTATTATTATTATTATTATTGAGAATACAAAAAAATGGATGAAAATTCAAAAAATCAAATTTACGAACATTTTATTTGTGGAAAATTGCGTAATTGCGAAATTTTTATGACAAAGATATCTGGAGGCGCATCCTGCTTTAGCCGAAACGTGGCTGCGGGAGAAAGCGAGTCTCCATCTTCGACAAAGATTGCAGAACACGTGTATGCTGCAACCGATACCACCACCGAGTGCGCCCAGCGTGCAGCAGGAAGAGAACCTTCTCAACCGGGGTAAACGTAACAGCGTCACATCCGATCTCTTTCAGACCTGGCTGGCCTCGAGTTCACCCGCAAAACGTAGCAGAAGTCCCAACAGGTAAGCAACATCAACAATAAAGTCATGTATAACAATTTTGTCTTATATCTTTATGTTATATGATCAAATCACTCCGTGTAACATCAAGATAAAAAGTAAAATAATAGATATTAAACTGGAGATATATAAATATTGTATACAACATGCTTTACTTATATTAATAAAATAATAAATTTTTCAAAATTCATTTCGAACTTAATTGGAATTTGCAATTAGGTAGCGCAAGTACTAAATCTTCCAGGACTTACAGCACGCTAATGGAGGCTCGTCGCGAGGAACTCGGTAGACTAGACGAAAGCGATCTGTTTATGGAACTGATAAGGGACGTGGCAAATGAACTGGACATCAACGTCCTATGCCACAAAATCCTCGTAAACGTCGGCCTACTCACTTATGCCGATCGCGGCAGCCTGTTCCTGGCGAAAGGACCATTAGAAGACCGATACCTGGTAGCAAAGCTGTTTGACGTCACCCAGGATACCGAGCTCGAGGAAGCCATTCAACGGGCTAAAAACGAGGAGATCAAAATACCGTTCGGAGTCGGTATCGCCGGTTACGTGGCGCAAACCAAGGAGATTATCAATATCAAGGACGCTTACAAGGTTTCAGCTTATATATCTCGGGGTGTCTGATTCACTGAGCATTGAACCTTTCGTTCAATCTCAGGGTTATAATTCTCACAATGTCGTAACATGATGAGAAAAAAAAAACCGTAACTAACTCTCTGCGTAGCCGGAGTTTAAGAGCCAATTAATCAATGATGAGTTCGCATTTTGTGTAGATTAGATTAAAATAAATTTTTCTTCATGCTCATCAGGATCCGAGATTCAACAGCGCCATCGATATGCGAACCGGATACAAAACAACGTTGATCCTATCGATGCCGATCTGCAATTACGAGGGCGACGTCATCGGGGTCGCCCAGATTATCAACAAGACGAATGGCAGCAACGAATTTACAGATAGGGACGTCGAGGTGTTTCAAAGGTGAGCCGAAACTGCGGCGAATACGTTCCGAAATTTATAGCTTTGCGTAATCGCGCGTAACGGCGACCAGGTGTCGGGACGCTTAAGCAGACATTAGGGCATAATTGCTGATTAACTGATATTGCATAATGGCGCACAGTCTCGTTACAAGACTATATAATTGCCGTGTACGCGCAATTATAATCGGCGTCGCGCGCGATCGATATGTTTATTAATACGATCGTGCGTCTAATTTTACGGCGGCATCGATTATCGCAGATACCTCACATTCTGCGGCATCGGCATACAGAACGCGCAATTGTTCGAGCTGTCCGTGCAGGAGTACCGACGCAATCAAATACTCCTCAATCTCGCGCGGAACATATTCGAGGAGCAGAATAATCTCGAGTGTCTTGTCACGAAGATCATGACCGAGGCAAAGGAGCTGCTCAAATGCGAGAGATGCGCCGTTTACCTGCTGGATTTGGATTGTGGCGAGGCAGTAAGTGTACTTTCCGCGAAATATTTCACTCTCATGCAATACATTATGATAAATATATTGTATCATGTTATGTGTGTGTGTGTGTGTGTGTGTGTGTGTGTGTGTGTGTGTGTGTGTGTGTGTGTGTATAAAAGTCGCAGAAAATATAAAGCGATTTTTAAAACAAATCAATATTTAATTAACCGATACGGTCAATTCAATCAATTATTTTAAATGTTGCCTTGCGGTATTTAAAAGCACGACACGAGATGTCAAATCTCTTTCCAGGGACATCTCGAGAAAATCGTTGAGCGGCCCGGGAGATCGGTACAAGAGAGCAGAAAGCCGTTATCGAGAAGAGAGGTGAGTGGCACCGCCACGTGTTACTCGAATTTGTAAGTTTGATGATCTTTTTCTCTTTCCTGGCGGCTCAGAGCAACAACATCGACATGGAGGACATTATCCAACAGCACGTGAGTAAACCTAATTCTATAAACTAAGTATACGCATAAGTAAATACGAAAATGCAATTTTTCAGCACTCCCGACGAAGTGAAGTATTCCTTCGTCATTTCCACGCATAATTTTCGTAACGTTAATCAACATGTTGGAATTTTTTTCGAATTTTTTACTTATAGCTCAAAACTTTTATTTTCCTAGAAAGATTAAAGAACAGTTTTAATTCACAATTTTTCCATGACGTCCATATAATTCATCTTTTTTCAGGGCTCGACCGAAGGCAGCAAATTTACCATGGTATTTGAAATGGAGAACGAAACGCAAGAGGCTCGAGTCTATCGGCCAAGTAACAACAACCTATCGAGTTCTTTAGGACAAATCGCGAGGTACGTCGCTGCGACGGGTCAAATTCTCAATATCGGCGATGTCGCTACGTGGCTGAAAAAAGGCGTAATCGAGAGTGGGAAGGAACCCATCAGGAGTATCTTATGCATGCCGATTGTAAACGGTCAGAGGATCGTCATCGGAGTTGCTCAATTGATCAACAAGGTTTGAATTGATAAAAGTTCCTTCTTAATACGTAATCCAAACTAATCCTGAATAATCAGCCATATTAATCTGTTATTGATAATTTGCATTTGCATTTAGATGTACTTTGCATTTAATTCCTAATAATAATCCGCTAATAATCTACATACATGCTGCATCGTATATCGCATATGATTTTTACGTTGCTGACTTTTTAAACTGTGTACTGTTTGAGAACAGATCACTGAGTATCGAGCAACAACGTTGCATCATAAAATTCATCGTATACAACAACAAAAGAAATAATTTAACAAGATATTAATGTTGTACCACAATGAAAAATATTCTTATTAAGTATTATAAAACATACTGACGCAAGAATGAATATTTTAAAGTATTTTCAATGCTGCAATTCTTTCTCCAGCAGTCGTTACATAAAATCATTAAGAGACGATAGACATTCATTAATAACAAGAGAAATTCTTTGCAGGACAATGGCACATCCTTCACCGATTCGGACGTGTCGATATTTGAGGCGTTTGCCATCTTTTGCGGTCTTGGTATTCACAACACGCAGATGTACGAATCCGCGTGTAAGCTGATGGCGAAGCAAAAAGTGGCCCTCGAATGCCTGAGTTATCACGCGACCGCCAACAACGAGGATGCCCTGCGACTCGTCTCCGACACCATACCGTCCGCGGACACGTACAATCTTTACAGTTTCACGTTCATCGACTTCGATCTCAACGACGACGACACGTGCCGCGCCACCATCAGGATGTTCAAGCAGTGCGATCTCATACAGAAGTTTCACATACCCTACGACGTCCTGTGCAGATGGATCCTCAGTGTGAAAAAGAATTATAGGTTGATATTTCAATTTCGTTTCATCTATTTTGCTCTGACAACAGAGATGTCTCCTCTTAAGATATCAAACGCGCGATCTTAAATGGAATTACAATCGGAAATTATTCCCGACAGGCCAGTAAAGTATCACAATTGGCGGCACGCGTTGAACGTCGCGCAAACGATGTTTGCGATGCTAACGACCGGCAAGATGGAACAATTCATGACCGATCTGGAGATTCTTGGACTTCTGGTGGCCTGTCTCTGTCATGACTTAGATCACCGCGGCACAAACAACGCATTCCAAACGAAAACCGAATCCCCATTGGCGATTCTTTACTCCACCAGTACGATGGAGCACCACCACTTCGATCAGTGCGTCATGATTCTGAATTCCGATAGCAACAACATCTTCCAGAGCCTGTCGATGGAGGACTATAGACGCGTGATGAAAGTTGTCGAGAGCGCCATTCTGTCAACCGATCTGGCAATGTACTTCAAGAAGAGAAATCGCTTTATGGAAGTTATCGACGAAGGCGAGTTTGATTGGCAAAGCGAAGAGAAGAAAGAATGTAAGATTCTTTTGAGAAATTTATTTGATAAATTTTAAAATATGTTAAATAATATGTTAAACAACAGATAGTAATAATAACTTGACAGACAGGTTTTAGATGCCAAATAATTAATTTTCTTATTTTTTAATTTTATATATAAAGTCAAGATATATATATATATAAAGTCAAGATAAATACCTGACCATATGCCGTTATTTTTAATACAAACTTGCGACTCAGAGCTAAATTTTTTACTTGAAATTGACAATCAAAAAACGATATCGATTAGTCTCTTCCCACCACGAAAAGTTTTTATTGCGAATGATATCACCTCAATCAGAATTTCAAATTTAGAAACTTCCCCAGTAAACTTACCCATATCGAGTATCTTTACCAATTCGATTTAATAATATTGTGATATTTTTTAAATTAATCAATTTAAAAATTTAATTAATTAAATAATTTTTATTCTTCTTCGTAGTGCTATGCGGCATGATGATGACGGCGTGCGATGTGAGCGCGATTGCGAAGCCCTGGGACATACAACATCGCGTCGCGAAGCTGGTGGCCGACGAGTTCTTCGATCAAGGCGACTTGGAGCGCCTCCAGCTCAATCAGCAACCGGTGGCGATGATGGACCGCGAGAGGCGGGATGAATTACCGCAGATGCAGGTTGGCTTCATCGACGTGATTTGCCTGCCGCTCTACAAAGTCCTGTCGGAAACATTCCCGTGGATATTGCCGCTCTACGAGGGCACTTTGGAGAATCGGAAGCACTGGCAGGATCTGGCGGAGAAGGTCGAGATGGGACTGACGTGGATCGATCGCGACACGATCGAGGAGCCGGTGGAGGAATTCGTTTCTTACGAGCCTAAAGACATCGAGTTTACGGTTACAACTTTGAACTGTTCTCACGCCGACAAGAAGGAACAAGTACCGGATAAATCGTCGCTCGGCAGATTCGCCTCGTTGAGAAAGGGCGGGCGAACGTTGGGCAAAGGGATGCGGCATCGCATCAGCAGATCTCTCTACGCCAGGAGCAGCTCGGAGGATGCTGGCAAATCGAAGGCGCTGCTCCCGGAGAGGAAAAATCGAAACAAACTGTGCCTGCTCATTTGACGGCTAACTTCGACGACGCTCGAGAGCATCCCTGAATGATAGCCAATAGGCGACGAAATTGAGAGATATAAGTATTTAAATATACACATTGCAGCTTCCAAGTCACGGAAGATGGAATCTTTAACGTTGAGATTACTTGGAAGCTGAAGTATGGCAGATGATCCGTTGACACTGTCATTGGAGGAAGAGCTTTAGGATGAATCTAGAAGTCGTTCTTAGGGAACATCGTCTACACTTCAATAACTAAGTCTACGGACTACTCTCGAAAAGTAGAATGATACCGAATGAATTGTTTGAAGGAAGCTTTTTTGAAGCTGCTTTCAGTTGCAGCGAAGTACTTACAGGAGATGAATCCTTTTTGAGAATTCTTAGCAGAGAAAACACCGATACTTACAGACACAATCATTATATGCAATTTTTTAATCAAGAAAGACCATACTTTGATGAGATAATTATTACTTTGATCAGATTTAAGAGTGATCAAAATAAAAAGACACAAAAATAAGCAATGAAAAGAAACGACGATAAATTTCGCAATTTATAAAAACCAAATATTAGGCGTAAAAAATTAACGAGTTTAATTAGATTTGAGAAAACCGACAATATCGATGAAAAAAAATTGCAGTCAAGGCAAAGAATATTTTTAAGACAAGCAACTAAAATATATCGAAATGTGATAATTCACGTTCTCAACAAAAACTGATTTAGTTCGAATTCATTAATATTCTGTCATTGTTCAGTTCACAATATTAATAAAATTAGGAGAATTAAAAATCTTGATATTATTTAATCGAATTAAGTATGAATTTGAATCAAATTATGCAAAGGGAGATTCGACGTAACTGATGTGTAAAATTAGTGCAGATAAAGTGAATTATAAAACCAAAAGAATACATATTACGTAATTACTATCGCCAAAAAACAGTAAAGTCCCAGTAAAGAAAATATGTTCAAAGAAGATGTTCTATTGATTCTGGCATATTCTTCACTATTTCTATTGCCAGATGTAGAAAATGACGAATCAAAATACCAAAATAACGCTGATGACGAACCTTCGTGGGATTAAGACGATGAACTGAATAACACATAGTCCGAAAGAAGAAAGAAGAGAAGATCTGAAGGAGACGAAGAAAAGATCTCCGAAGTGATCTCACGAGGCACACATCGCGCGTCGGATTCCGAGAAGACTGTTGCCGTAGGTTTTAAGGCGATAATACGTAGACAACGGTATTACACGTATGTTTAGTCGATGGCTAGGTAGCTAGAGACTTGACGGTCGGTCGTTGCACCTCACAACGACATTGCTCATAATCGCAATCCCGTAGAGCGCGAGGAAGTATGTGTGAATGTGTCGGGCGTCGTCGGATAATGATGATGATAATGATAATGATGATGATGATGATGATGATGATGATGATGATGATGATGATAATGATGATGATGATGGTGGTGGTGGTGGTGGTGGTAGTGGTAGTGGTGGTGGAGGTGATGATAATGATGATGATGATGATGATGATGATGATGATGATGATGATGATGATGATGATGATGATGATGATGATGATGATGATGATGATGATAGTGGTGATGATGATGGTAGTGGTAATGACGATGATGATGATGATGATGATGATGATGATAGTGGTAATGGTGATGATAGCGGAGTGGTAATGACGACGACGACGCTGATGATGATGATGATGATGATGATGATGATATGATAATATGATGATGATGATGATGATGATGATGATGATGAT